TTACAATAGTGACAACTGTGACAATAGTGACAACAACAGTGACAACGGTGACAACGGTAAAAACTGTGGCAAGAGTGACATCAGTGACAACAGTGACAACAGTGAATATGGAGACAACACTGACAACGGTAACAACGGTGACAACGGTGACAACAGTGAAAACACCGACAACACTGACAGCGGTGACAGTGGTGACAACAGTGACAACTGTGAAAACACTGAGAACGCTGACAACAATGACAACAGTGACAACAGGGACAACAGTAACAACAGAGAAAACGGTGACAACTTTGCCAAAGGTGACAAGGCCGAAAACACTGACAACGGCGACAACGGTGACAATAGTGACAACAGTGAAAACGGTGACAACAGTGACAACAGACAAAAAAGTGACAACAGTGACCAAAGTGACAACAGTGAAAACTGTGACAACGGTGACAGCGGTGACAACGGTGACAACATGGACAACGCTGACAACAGTGAAAAAAGTGACAACGGTGACAACACTGATAGTGGTGAAAACGATGACAACAGTAACAACAGTGACAATATTGACAACAGTGACAACAGTGACAGCACCGACAACACCGACAATACTGACAACGATGACAACGCTGACAAAAGTGACAACAATGACAACTGTGACAACAGTGACAACAGTTACAAGAGTAACAATGTGACAACGGTGACAACGGTGACAACATGAAAAACACTGATAACAGTGAAAACAGTGACAACCCTGACAACACTGACAACGGTGAGAACCATGACAACTGTAACAACACTACGAATAGTGACAACAGTGACAACAGTGACAACAGTAAAAACACTTACAACACTGACAACACCGAAAACAAGGACAACAATGACAACGGTGACAAAAGTGACAACAGTGAGAACAGTGAGAACGGTGACAACAGTGACAGCACTGACAACGGTGACAACGGTGACAATGGTGACAACGATGACAACGGTGCAAACGGTGACAACAGTGAGAACGGTGACAATAGTGACAACAGTGACAATAGTGACAACAACAGTGACAACAGTGACAACTGTGACAACGGTGAAAACCGTAAGAACTGTGGAAAGAGTGACATCAGTGACAACAGTGACAACAGTGACAACAGTGACAACAGGGACAATGGTGACAACAGTGACAACAGTGACAATGGTGACAACGGTGGCAACAATGACAACAGTGATACCGGTGACAACAGTGAAAACAGTGACAACAGTGACAACGGTGACACTGATAACGGTGACAACGCTGACAACAGCAACAACAGTGACAACAGTAACAACAGTGACACCGGTGACAGTGGTGACAACACTGACAACAGTGACAACAGTGGCAACAGTGACAATAGTGACAACAGTGAAAATGATGACAACAGTGACAACAGTGACAATGGTGACAACGGTGGCAACAGTGAGAACAGTGACACCGGTGAAAACAGTGAAAACAGTGACAACAGTGACAAGGTGACACTGACGATGGTGACAACGCTGACAACGGTAACAACAGTGACAACAGTAACAACAGTGACAACGGTGACAGTTTTTACAACAGTGACAACAGTGACAACAGTGGCAACAGTGACAATAGTGACAACTGTGAAAGTAGTGACAACAGTAACAACAGTGACAACTGTGACAACAGTGACAACAGTGACAACACTGACAACGGTGACAACGGTGGCAAAGGTGACAACAGTGACAACGGTGACAACAGTGACAACACTGACAACAGTGACAACGGTGACAATACTGACAACGGTGACAACACTTACAACGGTGACAACGGTGACAACCGTAAAAACAGTGACAACAGTAACAACAGTGACAACGGTGACTGTGGTGACAACAGTGACAACAGTGACAACAGTGACAACAGTGGCAACAGTGACAATAGAGACAACTGTGACAACAGAGACAACGGAGACAATAAAGACAACGGTGTCAACGGTGACAGTGGTAAGAACGGTGAAAAGGTTAACAACGGTAAAGACGGTGACAACAGTGACAACAAAGGCAACGTTGATGAGAGTGACAACGGTGACAATGGTAAAAAAAGAGACAACAGTGTCAACGGTAAAAACATTGACAACAGTGACAACAGTAACAACGGTGACGACAATGACAACGGTGACAACATTGACAACAGTAAAAACAATGATAACAGTGACAACAGTGACAATGCTGCTAACGGTAACAACAGTGACAACGGTAAAGACATTGACAACGGTGACAGGAGTAACAATGGTGACAACAGTAAAAAGTGTGACAGCAGTGACACCTGTGACAATGGTGGCAACAGTGACAACAGTGACAACGGTGAAATTGGTGAAAACGGTGAGAATGGTGACAACAGTAACAACGGTGACAAAGGTGACAACAGTGACAACGGTGACAACGAAGGCAACGTTCACAACAGTGACAACGGTGACAACGGTGAAAAAAGAGACTACAATGTCAACGGTAACAACAGTAGGAACCGTTACAATAGTGACAAATGTGACAATAGTGACAACAACAGTGACAACAGTGACAACTGTGACAACGGTGACAACAGTAAAAACTGTGGCAAGAGTGACATCAGTGACAACAGTGACAACAGTGACAACAGAGACAACACTGACAACGGTGACAACGGTGAGAACAGTGAAAACACCGACAACACTGACACCGGTGACAGCGGTGACAACAGTGACAACTGTGACAACACTGAGAAAGCTGAAAACAATGACAACAGTGACAACAGTAACAACAGAGAAAACGGTGACAACTTTGCCAAAGGTGACAAGGCCGAAAACACTGACAATGGCGAAAACGGTGACAATAGTGACAACAGTGACAACAGACAAAAAAGTGACACCAGTGACAAAAGTGACAACAGTGACAACTGTGACAACGGTGACAACGGGGACAACATGGAAAACACTGACAACATTGACAACAGTGACAACGGTGACAACACTGATAGCGGTGACAACGATGACAACAGTAACAACAGTGACAATATTGACAACAGTGACAACAGTGACAACACCGACAACACTGACAACGATGACGACGGTGACAAAAGTGACAACAATGACAACTGTGACAACAGTTAGAAGAGTGACAATGTTACAACGGTGACAACGGTGACAACATGGAAAACACTGATAACATTGACAACAGTGTCAACCCTGACAAAACTGACGACGGTGAGAACGATGACAACTGTAACAACAGTGAGAATAGTGACAACAGTGACAACAGTGATAACAGTAAAAACAGTTACAACACCGACAACACTGAAAACAAGGACAACGCAGACAAAGGTGACAAAAGTGACAACAGTGACTACACTGACAATGGTGACAACGGTGACAACGATGACAACGGTGAAATCGGTGACAACTGTGAGAACGGTGACAACAGTGACAACAGTAGCAACCGTGACGATAGTGACAACAACAGTGAGAACAGTGACAACTGTGACAACGGTGACAATGCTAAGAACTGTGGCAAGAGTAATATCAGTGACAACAGTGACAACAGTGACAACGGAGAAAACACTGACAACGGTGACAACGGTGACAGCGGTAGAAAGAGTGACAACAATGACAACAGTGACAAATGTGAAAACAGTGACAACGGTGACAACAGTGAAAACACCAACAACACTGACAGCGGTGACAGCGGTGACATCAGTGACAACTGGAACAACAGTAACAACAGAGAAAACGGTGACAACTGTGCCAAAGGTGACAAGGCTAAAAACACTGACAACAGCGACAACGGTGACAATAGTGACACCAGTGACAACAGAAAAAAAAGTGAAAAACGTGACAACAGTGACAAAAGTGACAACATTGACAAAAGTGTCAACTGTGACAACGGTGACAACGGTGACAATAGTGACAACAGTGAAAACAGTGACAACTGTGACAACTGTGACCACGGTGACCACGGTGACAACAGTGACCAAAGGTGACAACGTTGACAACAGTGACATCAGTGACAACAGTGACAACAGTGACAATGGTGACAACGGTGAAAACGGTGACAACAGTGACAACAAAAACCAAAAAGGTGACAACGGTGACAACAGTGACATCAGTGACAACAGTGACAATAGTAACAACAGTGACAACGGTGACAGTGGTCACAACAGTAAAAACAGTGACAACAGTGACAACGGTGACACTGACGACGGTGACAACGCTGACCACGATAACAAGAGTAACAACAGTATCAACAGTGACAACGGTGACAATTTTGACACCAGTGACAACAGTGGCAACAGTGACAATAGTGACAACGGTGACAATAGTGACAACAGTGACAACTGTGACAACAGTGACAACAGTCACAATGGTGACAACGGTGGCAACAGTGACAACAGTAACAACGGTGACAACAGTGACAACACTGACAACGGTGACAACCGTAACAACAGTGACAACAGTAACAATAGTGACAACGGTGACTGTGGTGACAACAGTGACAACAGTGACAACAGTGACAACACTGGCAACAGTGACAATAGAGACAACGGTGAGAACAGTCACAACAGTGACAACTGTGACAACAGAGACAACGGTGACAATAAAGACAACGGTGTCAACGGTGAAAATACTAAGAACGGTGAAAACGTTAACAACGATAAAGAAGGTGACAACAGTAACAACGAAGGCAAGGTTGATAAGAGTGACAACGGTGACAATGGTAAAAAAAGAGAAAACAGTGTCAACAGCAACAACATTGACAACGGTGACAACAGTAATAACGGTGACGACGGTGACAACGGTGACAACATTAACAACAGTAAAAACAATGACAACAGTGACAATTGTGCTATCGGTAACAACAGTAACAACGGTAAACACATTGACAACGGTGACAAGAGTAACAATGGTGACAACAGTGAAAACTCTGACAACAGTGACACCGGTGACAATGGCGGCAACAGTGACAATAGTGACAACGGTGAAATTGGTGAAAACGGTGACAATGGTGACAAGAGTGATAACGGTGACAGTGGTGACAACAGTAAAAACAGTGACAACAGTGACAACGGTGACACTGACGATGGTGACATCGATAACAAGAGTGACAACAGTAACAACAGTGACAACGGTGACAATTTTGACACCAGTGACAACAGTGATAACAGTGGCAACAGTGACAATAGTGACAACGGTGACAATAGTGACAACAGTGACAACAGTGACAACTGTGACAACAGTGACAACAGTGACAACAGTGACAACAGTGACAACACTGACAACAGTGCAACACTGACAACGGTGACAATCGTAACAACAGTGACAACAGTAACAATACTGACAATGGTGACGGTGGTGACAACAGTGACAACAGTGACAACAGTGACAACAGTGACAACACTGGCAACAGTGACAATAGAGACAACGGTGACAACAGTGACAACAGTGACAACAGTGTCAGCGGTGACAATGGTAAGAACGGTGAAAACATTAACAACGATAGAGACGGTGGCAACAGTGACAACTAAGGCATGGTTGATAAGAGTGACAATGGTGACAATGGTAAAAAAAGAGACAACAGTGTCAACAGCGACAACATTGACAACGGTGACAACCGTAACAACAGTGACGATGGTGACAACGGTGACAACATTGACAACAGTAAAAACAATGACAACAGTGCCAACAGTGTCAATTGTGCCAACGGTAACAAGAGTGACAACGGTAAAGACACTGACAACGGTTACAAGAGTAACAATGGTGACAACAGTGACACCGGTGACAATGGCGGCAACAGTGACAACAGTGACAATGGTGAAATTGGTGAAAACGGTGACAATGGTGGCAACAGTGATAACGGTGACAACGAAGGCAACGTTGACAACAGTGAAAAAAGAGACAACAGTGTCAACGGTAACAACATTGACAACGGTAACAACAAAAACAACGGTGACAACGGGGACCACATCGACAAAAGTAAAAACAGTGACAACAGTGACAAAAGTGACAACGGTGCTAACGGTAACAACAGTGACAACAGTAACGACATTAACAATAGTGACAAGAGTAACAATGTTGACCACGGTGAGGACACTGACAACGGTGACAACAGCGTCAACGGTCCAACAGTGACAATGGTGACAACGGTGACAACGGTGTCAACAGTGAGAAGAGTGACAACTGTGACAACAGTGAAAGGGGTGAGAACGGTATCAACAGCGATAACCGTGACAACAGTGAGAATAGTGACAACAATGACAACGGTGACAACCCTGACAATGGTGACAACGGTGACAACGGCAAAACAGTACCAATGGTGGCAACACAGACAACGGTGATAGTGGTGACAACAGTAACGACAGAAACAACAGTGACAACAGTGACAACGGTGAAAACAGTTACAACAGTGAAACCAGTGACAACACCGACAACGGTGACAACGGTGACAACGGTAAAAACAGTGACAACGATGACAACAGTGAAAACAGTGACCACGGTAACAAGAGTGACAATGGTGACGACAGTGACAACAGTGAAACTGGGGACAACACTGACAACGGTGACAACGGTGACAACAGTGAAAACAGTGACAATGGTTACAAGACTGACATCAGCGACAACACCGAAAACACTGATAACGGTGACAACAGTAACAATAGTGTAAAGAGTGATAACAGTGAAACTGGTGACAACACTGACAACGGTGACAACGGTAACAACAAGGACAACAGTGACAAAAGTGAAAACAGTGACAATAGTTTGAACACTGACATCACCGACAACACTGACAATGGTGACAACAGTAACAACAGTGACAAGCGTGACAACAGTGACAACGGTGACAACAATGACGACAGTGACAACACCAACAACGGTGACAATGGTGAAAACAGTGAAAAAAGTTGCCAACAGTGACCACTCCGACAACACTGAAAACACTGAAACCGCTGACAATAGTGACAACTATGGCAACAGTGACAACTGTGAGAACGGTGACAATGGTGACAACAATGACAACAGTGACAACGGTGACAACAGTGACAACGGTGACAACATTGACAACAGTGACACCAGTGACAATGGTAATAACACTGACAAATGTGACAGCAGCGACAACGGTGCTACAATGAGAACAGCCACAACGATCCAACAGTGACAACGGTGACACTGGTGAAAAGAGTGAAAACGGTGACAACGATGCAACAATGACAACGGTGACAACGGTGACAACGGTGACAACAGTGACATCAGTGACAACGGAGACAACCGTGACAACACTGACAATGGTGACAACGGTGACAACAGCAAAACAGTGCCAATAGTGGCAACACAGACAACAGTGATAGTGGTGACAACAGTAACAACAGTGACAACGGTAAAAACAGTGACAACAGTGACAACGGTGACAAAAGTGAGAATGGTGACGACAGTGACAACAGTGAAACTGCTGACAACGGTGACAACGGTGACAACGGTGACAACTGTAACAACAGGGACAACAGTGACAACAGTGAAAACAGTGACAATGGTTACAACACTGACATCACCGACAACACCGACAACACCGACAACACTGATAATGGTGACAACAGTAACAACAGTAGACACGAGTGACAACAGTGACAACGGCGATTACAGTGACGACAGTGACCACACCAAAAACGGTGACAACAGTGACCACCCCGACAACACTGAAAACAATGACAACGCTGACAATAGTGACAACTGTGACAACAGTGACAACTGTGACAACAGTGACAACAGTGACAATGGTGACAACAATGACAACAGTTAGAACGGTGACAACAGTGACAACGGTGAAAACAGTGACACCAGTGACAGTGGTGATAACACTGACAGCACTGACAGCACTGACAACAGCGACAATAGTGCTACAATGAAAACACGACAACAGTCCAACAGTGACAACGGTGAAACCGGTGAAAAGAGTGAACACGGTGACAACGATGCAACACTGACAACGGTGACAATGGTGACAACGGTGACAACAGTGACAACAGTGATAATGGTGACAACGGTGACAACGGTGACAACAGTGACAGCGGTGACCACGGTGACAACAGTGACATTTGTGACAATGGTGGCAACAGTGACAACGGTGACAACGGTGACAACAGTCACAACAGTCACAACAGTAAAAACAGTGACAACAGTGACAATGGTGAAGATAGTAACAACAGTGACAATGGTGACAGCAGTGAAACTGGTGACAACACCGACACAATGACACGGTGACAACTGTGAAAACAGTGACAATGGTGACAACAGTGACAACAGTGACAACAGTGACAAAAGTGACAATGGTGACGACAGTGACAACAGAAACAATGGTGACAACAGTGAAACTTGTAACAACACTGACAACGGTGATAACAGTGACAACTGTGAAAACAGTGATAACGATGACAACAGTAAGAACAGTAACAACGGTGACAACACTGACAATGGTGATGACAGTGAGAACAGTGAAATTGGTGACAACACTGACAACGGTGACAACGGTGACAACCGTAACAACAGGGACAACAGTGACAACAGTGACAACAGTGACAATGGTTACAACATTGACATCACCAACAACACTGACAACACTGATAAAGGTGACAACAATAACAACAGTGACAAGAGTGAAAACATGAAAACTGCTGACAACACTGTCAACGGTAAGAACAGTGACAATATTAACAAAAGGGACAACAGTGACAACACTAAAAAGAGTGACAATTGTTACAACACTGACATCACCGATAACACAAACAACACTGACAACGGTGACAACAGTAACAACAGTGACAACCGTGACAAGAGTGACAACAGTGACAACAGTGACAAAAGTGACAACACTGACAACGGTAAAAAGGGTGAAAACAGTGAAAAATAGTGACAACAGTGACAACCTACACAACACTGAAAACACTGGCAACGCTGACAATAGTGAAGACTGTGAAAACAGTGACAACAGTGAGAATGGTGAAAACAATGACAACAGTGACAACGGTGACAACAGTGGCAACGCTGACAACAGTGACACCAGTGACAATGCTGTCAACAGTGACAACAGTGACAGCAGTGACAATGGTACTACAATGACAACTGCGACAACGCTCCAACAGTGACAACAGTGACATCTGTGACAACGGAGACAACGGTGAAAACACTGACAATGGTGACAACGGTGACAACCGCAAAACAGTGCCAACAGTGGCAACACAGACAACAGTGATAGTGGTGAAAACAGTAACATAAGTGAAAACAGTGACAACAGTGACAACGGTGAAAACAGTGACAACAGTGACAACACCCTCAACGGTGACAACGGTGACAATGGTGAAAACAGTGACAACAGTGACAACAGTGACAACGGTGAAAACAGTGAAACTGCTGAACACACTGGCAACGGTGACAACTGTAACAACAGGGACAACAGTGACAACAGTGAAAACAGTGACAATGGTTACAACACTGACATCACCGACAACACCGACAACACTGATAATGGTGACAACAGTAACAACAGTAGACAAGAGTGACAACAGTGACAACGGCGACAACAGTGACGACAGTGAAAACACCAACAACGGTGACAACAGTGAAAAAAGTGAAAAACGGTGACAACAGTCGCCACCCCAACAAAACTGAAAACACTGACAACGCTGACAATAGTGACAACTGTGACAACAGTGACAACTGTGACAACAGTGACAACAGTGACAATGGTGACAACAATGACAACAGTTACAACGGTGAAAACAGTGACACCAGTGACAATGGTGATAACACTGACAACAGTGACAGCAGTGACAACAGCGACAATGGTGCTACAATGAAAACAAGACAACTGTCCAACAGTGACAACGGTGAAACTGGTGAAAAGAGTGAAAAGGATGACAACGATGCAACAATGACAACGGTGAAATCGGTGACAACGGTGACAACAGTCACAACAGTCACAACAGTCAAAAAAGTGACAACGGTGACAACGGTGACGATGGTGACAGCAGTGAAACTGGTGACAACACCGACACAATGACACGGTGACAACAGTGAAAACATTGACAATGGTGACAACAGTGACAACAGTGACAACGGTGAAAAAAGAGACAATGGTGACGACAGTGACAACAGTGACAATGGTGACAACAGTGAAGCTGGTGACAACACTGACAACGGTGATAACGGTGACAACAGTGACAACAGACACAACAGTAAAAACAGTGATAATGGTGACAAAAGTGACAACGGCGACAACAGAGACAACAGTGACATTAGTGACAACGGTGACAACAGTGGTAACAGTGAAAACGGTGCCAACTGTGCTAACAGTGACATCAGTGACAAAGGAGACGACGGTGACAACAGTGACAATGGTGACAACCGTGACAATAGTGACAACTGTGACAACAGTGAGAACGGTGACAATAGTTACAACAGTGACAACAGTAACAACAGTGAAAACGGTGACGACAGTGACAACTGTGACAACAGTGACAACAGTGACAACAGTGACAATAGTGACAACACTGAGAACAGTGACAAAAGTGACAACAGTGTCAACAGTGACAACGGCGACAACAGTGACGACAGTGACAACACCAACAACGGTGACAACGGTAAAAACAGTGAAAAACGGTGACAACAGTGACCACCCCGACAATACTGAAAACACTGACAACGCTGACAACAGTGACAACTGTGACAACAGTGACAACTGTAAAAAAAGTGACAACAGTGAAAATGGTGACAACAATGACAACAGTGACAACGGTGACAACAGTGAAAACAGTGACAACAGTGACATCAGTGACACCAGTGACAATGGTGATAACAATGGAACAGTGACAACAGCGACAATGGTGCTACAATGACAACACAACAACGGTTTAACAGTGACAATGGTGACACTGGTGAAAAGAGTGAAACGGTGACAACGATGCAACAATGACAACGGTGACAACGGTTACAACGGTAACAACAGGGACAACAGTGATAACGGTGACAACAGTGACAACAGTGACAACATTGACATCAGTAAACGCGGTGACAACAGTGAAAACGGTGAACACAGTGACAACAGTGACAATAGTGACAACACTGACAACAGTGACAAAAGTGACAACAGTGTCAACAGTGACAACGGCGACAACAGTGACGACAGTGACAACACCAACAACGGTGACAACGGTAAAAACAGTGAAAAACGGTGACAACAGTGACCACCTTGACAACACTGAAAACACTGACAACGCTGACAACAGTGACAACTGTCACAACAGTGACATCAGTGACACCAGTGACAATGGTGATAACAATGAAACAGTGACAACAGCGACAATGGTGCTACAATGACAACACAACAACGGTCCAACAGTGACAACGGTGACACTGCTGAAAAGAGTGAAACGGTGACAACGATGCAACAATGACAACGGTGACAACGGTTACAATGGTAACAACAGGGACAACAGTGAGAACGATGACAACATTGACATCAGTGAAAACGGTGACAACAGTGAAAACAGCGAAAACCGTGACAACAGTGACAACGGTGACAACATTGACATCAGTGAAAACGGTGACAACAGTGAAAATGGTGACAACCGTGACAACAGTGAGAACGGTGACAACAGTGACAATATTGACATCAGGGACAACTGTGACAACAGTGACAACGGTGACAACGGTGACAACAGTGACAACGGAGACAAAAGTGACAACTGTGACACCGGTGAAAATGGTGTCAACAGTAAAAACAGTAACAACTTTGACCACTGTGACAACGGTGACAACAGTGAAAACGTAACAACCGTGAGACCAGTGACAATGGTGACAGTAGTGTCAACGGTGACAACGATGTCAACGGTGAAAACAGTAACACCGGTGACACCGGTGGGACCAGTGACAACAGTGACAACAGGAACAAGTGACAACATTGACAACATTGAAAACAGCGAGATCAGTGACAATGGTGACCACGGTGAAAACTGTGACAACCGTGACCACGGCTACCACGGTGACAACAGTGACAAAGGTGACAATGGTGACAACAATGACAACGGTGACAACGGTGACAACGGTGACATCAGTGACAACAGTGACAGTGGTGACAACGGTGACAGCGGTGACAACAGTGACATTTGTGACAATGCTGACAACAGTGACAACAGTGACAACGGTTAAAACGGTGAAAACGGTGACAACGGTGACAACAGTGACAACAGTAACAACAGTGAAAACGGTGACGACAGTGACAACTGTGACAACAGTGACAATAGTGCAACACTGACAACAGTGACAAAAGTCACAACAGTGTCAACAGTGACAACGGCGACAACAGTGACGACAGTGACAACACCAACAACGGTGACAACGGTAAAAACAGTGAAAAATGGTGACAACAGTGACCACCCCGACAACACTGAAAACACTGAGAACGCTGACAACAGTGACAACTGTAAAAAAACTGACAACAGTGAAAATGGTGACAACAATGACAACAGTGACAACGGTGACAACAGTGACAACAGTGACAACAGTGACATTAGTGACACCAGTGACAATGGTGATAACAATGAAACAGTGACAACAGCGACAATGGTGCTACAATGACAACACAACAACGGTCATACAGTGACAAAGGTGACACTGGTGAAAAGAGTGAAACGGTGACAACGATGCAACAATGACAACGGTGACAACGGTTACAACGGTAACCACAGGGACAACAGTGATAACGGTGACAACAGTGACAACGGTGACAACATTGACATCAGTGAAAACGGAGACAACAGTGAAAACGGTGACAATAGTGACAACAGTGACAATAGGGACAACACTGACAACAGTGACAAAAGTGACAACAGTGTCACAGTGACAACGGCGACAACAGTGACGACAGTGACAACACCAACAACGGTGACAACGGTAAAAACAGTGAAAAACGGTGACAACAGTGACCACCCCAAAAACACTGAAAACACTGACAACGCTGACAACAGTGACAACTGTGACAACAGTGACACCAGTGACAATGGTGATAACAATGAAACTGTAACAACAGCGACAATGGTGCTACAATGACAACACAACAACGGTCCAACAGTGACAACGGTGACACTGGTGAAAAGAGTGAAACGGTAACAACGATGCAACAATGACAACGGTGACAACGGTTACAACGGTAACAACAGGGACAACAGTGATAATGGTGACAACATTGACATCAGTGAAAACGGTGACAACAGTGAAAACAGTGACAACCGTGACAACAGTGACAACGGTGACAACATTGACATCAGTGAAAACGGTGACAACAGTGAAAACGGTGACAACCGTGAACACAGTGAGAACGGTGACAACAGTGACAATATTGACATCAGTGACAACTGTGACAACAGTGACAATGGTGACAACAGTGACAACAGAGACAACAGTGACAACTGTGACACCGTTGAAAATGGTGTCAACAGTAAAAACAGTGACAACTGTGACAACTGTGACAACGGTGTCAACAGTGAAAACGGTAACAACTGTGAGACCAGTGACAACGGTGACAGTAGTGTCAACGGTGACAACGATGTCAAGGGTGAAAACAGTAACACCGGTGACACCGGTGGGAACAGTGACAACAGTGACAACAGGAACAAGTGACAACATTGACAAAATTGACAACAGTGAGATCAGTGACAATGGTGACCACGGTGAAAACTGTAAGAACCGTGACCACGGTGACCACGGTGACAACAGTGACAAAGGTGACAACGGTGACAACAATGACAACGGTGACAACAGTGACAACGGTGACAACGGTGACATCAGTGACCACAGTGACAGTGGTGACAACGGTGACAACGGTGACATTTGTGACAATGCTGACAACAGTAACAACAGTGACAACGGTGAAAACGGTGACAACGGTGACAACAGGGAGAACAGTCACAACAGTGAAAACAGTGACCACAGTGACAACAGTGATAAAGGTGACAATAGTAAAAATAGTGACAATGGTGACAAACGTGAAACTGGTGAAAACACCGACACAGTGACAAGGTGACAACGGTGAAATCAGTGACAACGGTGACAACAGTAAACACAGTGAAAACGGTGACAGCAGTGACAATGGTGACGACAGTGACAACAGTGACAATGGTGACAACAGTGA